TATTTTCGGGTAAGAGAGGATTCTTAGTTTTTGGCTCAAAAGTGAGGGGGTAGCTTATTTTCAGAGTAGCTTATTTTCAGAAATATACGGTATGTGTAAAAATAAGAAAGAAAATGAAACTTAACTTATTTAGCATTCAGCTCTTATTTAGTATTCAGCCCTTATTGATAGAGCAATGCATATACGATTATATGAGTAGATTGATAGATTTCATTCAATCGTTATATAAATATGTTTATCTCCTTCTAGTACACTATAAAAGATATATAATTAATTGTTTCTATCAGATTTTAGACTTTATAAAGACTAGATATAAATGATTTACTACAATTTTTTCATCCGAAGTATACTTTTTTTCATATAAACTTTCAACTAATATCCATGAGCCAACAAACCTTTTTTTAAGCCCAAAGTTTAATAAAACTTACATATACAAGTCCCCTGATACCAAATACCAACAATTTACAAATGAATTTACATATAAATATATAGTAATAAATGAAAATCCCACTCCAAGTCGATTAACAATCTGTAACAATGCTGCAAAAGAATGGAAAAATATTAAAAAGATGAAAAAACCCAAAATTAATAATATTATAAAAAAATACTTAGCAATGCTTTTTAAAGTGCAAGAATATTTTCAGTCCACTGCTTTATCTCAACAAAAGTGCCCAGAAACTTCGAAAGTAAATTTATCTCAGAATATACCTTTACAGATTCTACAAACATTTAATATAGAAGAAATTCGAAGTAATGCATCAGCTCAAAAACAGGCAGCTAATTCTAAAGTAGCTATTAGAGATTGGAATCAAATTTAATTTTCAAATTTGAATTATTTTAAAATGAATTTAAATTAATTTGAATAAATTATATAAATTTATATTAATTCACATAAAAATTGTTATGCATAAGTATGCATAAACATGCAAGATTATATATAAATATGCAAAATTATGCAAAATTATGTATACTTATATATAATCATGCATATATATATATATGTATATATGTACATTTTATGCATAATTTTGTATAATTTTTGCATGATTCTGCATAATTCTGCATAATTTTGCATAATCTTACATAAAAATATTTTATATGAATTTATATAAATTTATATAAATTCATATAGTTTATTTGAATTAATTCAAATTCATCTTTAGATCGAATTGATTCGAATATTCAATTAATTGAATATTTGATTCCAACCTCTAGTAGCTGTAGAAAAAAAATCAAAGAACTGAAAGCTGTGTATAACTTTACCAACGATTTGCAACTCCATCATAATTTGTATGTTAGAATCACAAACCTCAAATTCAAACTTCAAGAATATAAGAACAAATTACACAAGCTAAAAAAAAATACTGAATATCAATCTAAATGCCAATTCAAAAAAACTAAGGCATTAGAAGAAGAACAAGTGGTAATTTGATATAATTTACCTGGCAAACCGTCAATATTGCTTTAGAATCCAGAGTTACTTGATAATATTCATAATTTAGTAGAGTATGGATCTGCTAATACACGTAGGCGTAAGGAAGCCGTTAAAGTAGGGATTATAAATCACTTAAAGGGGAATCTCAAAAAAAATTATGCCATTTATATAGCCAGAACGACCTTAAATAATTATCTTTTGCCCTGCCAATCAAATTCAATTGCGGCTAAAGCTTACTATCATCTGGCCTGGATAGCTGTAGCTAGTGTTTTCCATAACAAACCAAAAAATCATCCTGATAGGCAATTTGCACGCACCTTTCCAAATGTTTCTATAATTATTTCTCAGGATAATAAAGCAAAAATAGGTCTAGGAATACTAGCAGTGGGTAGAACATTTCACACTTTACAGTCTGTATCTGAACCAGTTCAACTACCTGACCATAATTTTGCATGTGATAATAGCCAAAAACTAATTTCGTCTGTTTATCTAATGATTAAACCAAATGAAGAAAATGATGACCTTTAAACAGGACAAGTAGCAATTTTTGTCAAACCTTAGTGGTCAATCGGTATATTATCTATTACCCACGCTGAAGATTTTATTTCTCTTATATTAGATAATCAGTATTCAGAAGCCCTAAAAATAAATAATGAGATAAACCCAATTTAGGTTTTGTTAGTTGACAGGGGTCCTGACAAGAACTCTAGATATTTTAAAATTATTGAGTTATATTGTAAGTTGTTTAAAAAATTCGATTTAGACTATTTGACTGTACAAACCCATGCTCTGGAACAATCAAAATATAATCCAGTTGAAAGAAGTATGCTAACGCTTTCAGGAAAGCTAGCCAGAATCGTCTTGCCAATAAACTATTTTGGAAAGCATCTTGATAGCCAGGGTAACATTAATGATATCAACCTAGCAGCCCAAAATTTCAATTATGCTAGAATGATGTTGTGCAATATATGGCACCGTGATCTCATTTTTGGAAAGCATATAAATGCAACATATATTGATAAAACTGTTAATCTATTTGCGAATCTTGAATTTACCTTTGAGCAAACAAATGAAAAAAATAATAATAAAGAGAATGACATATCTGTTCCATGGAGTTGGATTGAAAAGCATTGTAATTTATGCCAGTATTCGCTTAATATTAAACGCTGCAATGATCTAGATTGCTGTGGCCTCCCAGAGCATTAGAAGTTACGGAATTTCTTCAACTTTCCAATGGTTTTTTTCTACCCATTACCAGGGCCAAGGATGGTCATTTCATAAACCCTGTTCATCTTCTTTAGTATTCTGAACAACTTAAAGTTCCTAGCTATGATAAACATTGCCTATCTATTAGTTAAACAACATATTTCCAACTTTGTTGTTTAGTTTGTTACAAATATTTTCTAACTTTGGCCTATATTACAAAGCACAAACGTGAGATGCTTCTATCTGCCTATGAAAGACCTAAAAAAAACCAATCTAAAAATTCTAAATCTGTAGTAGAAGCTGTAGTAATTACTAATACTGCAACTTTAGAAAACTTTAGTATACTTCCCTTACAACAAACCAAAAGTTGCTTTTTGATTGATGATTTCAGAAAATATGCTTCTGATATAGAATTTTAGTAGATGCAAAAAAATAGTTTAACTAGTTTATGAAATTTGAGATTTTGTTAAAGAAAATTTTGAGTTTGTGAACAAAATTGAGATACTGTTGTAACAACTTTGGTATCGAAAAGAAAATCTTTTTAAAAAAATTTTGATATTTAAAAAAAAATTTCAGATTGTCTTTACTTAAAATTCTTTATACATACTTAGATCAACTCTTTATATTGTACGTATTAAGAATAAATGTTAGTTAAATATATGTAGTATGTAAAAGATTAATAAAAAATAGTAATAAATCAAAAAGTAAAGTGAACCGAATAACTAACAAAGTGTAAATTTAATTTAAATATCGCTTTCATACCCTAATACAGCATGATTATCAAAGCTAGTAGCTGTATATAGATATCAGTTTGCATACATAACAGGTGATTATGTAATATAGTAGCTTCAGACAAACACTATCTATACTATATATATATTATATATATATATTATGTGTAATATAAGACTTTGAACTGACCTTCTTCCCCCCTAGAATATTTACAAAATCACAAAATAGATAATATTTTGTATTATTTTATATATACAAAAAATTATTTATCTTGTGATTTTGTAATTGGATTTTAATGATTTTGGGCTTGTTAAAATCCTCTCATTGAGAGAATTAATTTGGTAGTTAAATCATCCAAATTGGTCCAAATATATCAAAAATTATATAAATTTGAAAATTTTTTATTAATTAATACTATTTAAAATTTTTATATAATTTGATTGGCTAATAAAGTATCAGATGTGGGTGGGTGGAAATGAAATTTTAAACTTTATTAATAAAAAAATATTACATAATTTCTGGAAGCCTCCTTACCATCAATAAAACCACAATTCATTCAACCATTTATTTGCATATATATTCAAATTTATTTGATACACTTCCTAATAATTTGCAACTTTCCAAACAAACATGATGATCTGAATCATCCCACCTCAACACAAACTATCCTGCAACAAAACCCTCATTCTGAAGATACTGAGCATCAAGATGAATAATAAAAATTTTTTTTAGATTATATAATAATGTTTAAACAAAATTTAATTATTTTTTTCACTTCTTATTTATTTTTTTTCTTTATTTTTTTTATTTTATTTTTTTATTTAATATATCTTTTTTGTTTTTTTAATTTTATTTTATTTTTCTTATTTATTTATTTTTTTTATATTTATTTTATTATATATATATTTATTTTATTTTTTATTTAATAAATTTATATTAATACTGTATATTTCAAATTAATTTTAACTATTTTGAATTAGTTCAAATTATTTTAGATAAATTTAGATTTAATCAAATTCATTATCATATAATATTTATAAATTTGATATATAAAGTAAAGTGGGGTATTGTGACGAAGGGGGTATTGTTGTAACGGTTCTTTATTAATCTGCAAGTTGTTGGTAGCAAAAGGTTTTCTCTTTATCAAATAAGGCACCAGTTAAACAAATAAAAACAAATAAAAACACAATCAACTAAACAAAAATTCAAATTCCAACTAGAAACTATTTAATAAAAAGGAAATGATAAAGAAAAGTGACAAGAGGTTGTCTAGGAGTAAAAGTAATAAAATATAGAAATATTGGAGTAGTGTTTTAACAAGAAAAATGAATATTTAGAAGGGTTTTAAGGGTATTATTAAAAGAATATTTTTAAAGAAGAATATATTTATAAAGGTTGTATTGTAAAAGGAATTATAAGAGTAAAGAGGTGTGGCAGCTTAGTGAAGTGGTCAAGTTGTCACCCTCTCCAAGTAGCAGGTCTAGGGTTCAAATCCCAC